CCGTTGCACAATAGGTTTAGGATTTTTTGAATAATTATCTCGATGAAAAACAATGTAAGCCGACTATTTTGCCAAATGAACGGAAATTGAGCATGTGAAGAATTTTGGGTCGGACTGAGACAAAAAAACCAAAGTATACGGTGTTGACTGAACAGAGAAATAACGAGGCATTGACTGAGACAACCATGAAAATACAGAGCGCAAGTTGGAATTAGCCCAAGAGCAGAGATGATGATAATGGATTTGAATGGGGAATATATGTTACAATTAGTAATGTTAGTTATATTAAAACTAGTTTACAATATTATTGCATTAAGTTAGTAAGATGCCTATTGATAGAGAAAAATAATGAGTGAAAGACAAGATTAGACAAGATTAATATCGAACAGTTGGTACTAAGATAAATAACTTTTAAAATCCGAAAATAAGTAGGGAGCATTGTATCGAGAGCAGATAGAAATGCTTAGGATGGAGACTAGTTCTCGTGAATAATGAACTGTTATGCTTTCAATTCAATCTAAAGCACAATGGTTCATTTTTTTTTACGATACTCGCTAAAAATGTCAAAAACTTAGAAATTGCAGACAAGTTTCGTTCCTAATTAATGTGAAAGGTATTCATAAAGGACCTTTCTAGCGTAACGGAGCCGTCATTTTCTTCTAGTAACGGTGCGAGGATAGTCGCACGTTTCATCTTGCAAGGGGTGGGCAACCGGAGAAAACAGCCATGGAAGAGCATAGTTCCAACGGATGTTATATTGAGAAAACAAATTTAGTGATGTCCTCCTAGGAAATAATCTATGAGAATCTGAACAGCAAATTTTAACTTGAAAATATTAAAAAAAATTATATATCATTATCAACGCAAGGAGGAAAGTAAATATTCACGACACAAATAATATATTCTATGGATTTATAATTTTCTTTTTTTGGTGCATTAACATATACAACAACAACAAAATTCTATTATTTACGCTACGAAATAAAATTTAATATCTCTCTATAGGGGAAAAAAAAAGACTTACCAATTCTCTTAATTTTATCGAGCTCTTCTGCCTTTGACTGCAAACTGACAAGCATTACTTGATAAATCCAATAGTCATCAATCTATATATTTATGAACTATTACGTGCAATTTTCCATTGCATTCGTTAAAGGCGCAAGATTAAAAAAGCTTCAGTTAAATCATTTCTGTTGTCCAAAAATGGTGAGAATTGTTCTACCTGAGTCTTAGAAATCCAAAATAACAAAATGTTTAGAGTATTGGTGCCATTAGTTAATCAATTTTCTATAAGAATTAAATCAACTAAATATCGTTTCGATATTGTGATTATTTAAATTTTGGTCGTTGATAATTTTCGTTTTTTTTCCTTTTAAACTTACTTTTTGTTACTTATGGGAACCAAATCCCACGGAGTGGGATTTTGATTTCCCTAGGAAACCGGACAAAAAAGTCATCCGGTTTCTTTGGGAAATTGTGAGGTGCAGAGAGTCAGCTAAGCATTTTCTTTGCTCAATTTTCCCGACATGACAGTTGAACATCTCTCGTCCTTTCATTCTCTTCTCTCCTTTTGTTTTTATAGAGATTTTGTTCAGTCAAAGTCTTTGCTCGTGGAATCTTCCAGTGCTGATGCTTTCTTTGCTCAATTTTCCTGACATAACACTTGAACATCTCTCGTCCATTCGCTCTCTTCTCTCCTTTTGTTTTTATAGAGCTTTTGTTCAGTCAAAGTCTTTGCTCATGAAATCTTCCAATGCTGTTGCTTTCTTTGCTCTATTTTCCGGTCATATCAGTTGAAGATTCTTCTTACTCCTAACTTGTATGACGGGCATTCACATACGTCAAACAATAGCCGCGATGATTGAAGAGAGAGAGAGGATAACAGACATGACGAAATTGTTATCGGGTGATTGGAAGAGGCAAAGTGGGATTTATGATAATTTAGGTTCGTTTACCATAATATCTTTCATTTACAAAATGGATAATTTACGGAATTTCGGTTGCAAATTTCAGGAATCAAAACCGCAGCCTTTTTTTTTAATATAAAGGAAAGACAACAGAAGATTGTGAGATGAATCCTTAGAAACATCGCTAGTATAAACTTTTCTTGACTATTAAGATCTAGATATATCTTTATTTTTATATTAAGAGCCATGTTAACGAGTGCCTTCGAAACATTCTATTAAGCATATTTTATATGGAATAACTTCTATTTTTCAAAACTTTATATAACATGAGAAAGCATTTCGAAACTACAAAATTTCTCTAATTATTAGTGTCCTGGAAATTCTGTGAAGAAGTTCAAATGTTAGACTTCATAGCCTTCTGCAGATTTGGCTTGAGATTGTTACTTTTATAGTCAAAGTCTGATTTCAAATACTTAAACCTAATTTTCAAATAAAAGATGAATAGCAACCGACATATTCATGTACTTAAATGTGAACGGAAATTTGTGAAGTGCATGATTTAGAAAAAGCTACAGGATTGACAATTTGTTCCTTCTTAAACTACCACTTAGGAAAATATACATGTTACTCATTCGAATTATTGTTACGTCCACTATTCTTGTAGAAAAATTCTTACACAATCACCATTGGATGAGTGGCACTTGTGTTTGTAGTTACTATGTAATCGAATTATTCTACCCGTGGCCAATCACCAGCCATTGTAAAAATCTTTAAAAATTTTAATAAAAAATTGCAAAAATCTTCTACGACAATGCTGACCGTGCCACGTAAGATAGACAATGCCTACGGGATCGATTTTCGATCAAAATTGGCCAGAAGAATTAAATTAGTAAATCATCAAAAGATTTAGGACTAAATTGTCGTGCAATCGATTTAGGATTTTTTGGACAATTATATCGATAAAAAACAGTGTAAGCCGACTAATTTGCCGAATGAACGAAAATTGAGCATGTGAAGAATTTTGGGTCGGACTGTGACAGAAAACCAAAGTATATGGTGTTGACTGATCAAAGAAATAACAAGGCATTGATTGAGAAAACCATGAAAGTACAGACGGCAAATTGGAATTAGCCCAAAAGCAGAGATCATGATAGTGGATCTGAACGGGGAATATATGTTACAATCAGTAATATTTGTTATATTAAAAGTAGTTTACAATATTAGTGTATTAAGTTAGTAAGATGCTTATTGATAAAGAAAAATGATGAGTGAAAGACAGGTTAGACAAGATTAATATTGAACAGTTGATACCGAGATAAATAACTTTTAAAATCCGAAAATAAGTAGGGAGCACGGTATTGAGAACAGATAGAAATGCTTGGGATGGAGACTAGTTCTCGTGAATAATGAACTATCATGCTCTCAATTCAATTTAAAGCACAACAGTTCATTTTTTTACTATACTTGCTAAAACTGTCAAAAACTTAGAAATCACTGACAAGTTTCCTTCCTAATTAAAATTAAAGGTATTCATGAATTAATCCACCAAGTGCCATGTTAACTTTAGGGATATGTGCACTAGAAGTCCTAAAACTTGTTTCTAAAGTGCAATTGAGTTTTAAAATTTGTAAAAAATGCAATCAAGCGTAAAACTTGTCAACTTGATTCAATTGAGTTCTAAAGTTAATACTGTCAATTTTTCTAACAGAAAATGCTGACGTGGCATACTTAAAACAAATTCTCTCTCATGCATGGCATTTATTATTATTTTTTCATTCAAATATCATTTAAATTAAATAAAAACACCAAAAAAAGCTAATTTTTTATTTAAAAAACAATAAAGAAAAAAAAACAAGAAAGAGGAGGCCTTGCTGGTAGTGCACTACCACTGTCGCCCATTGCCGAAGTGGTCGACGACCTTCGCTGGCCCTAGGCGAGGGCGGTTGGCACTTGTCGGCCCCAGGTAAGGCCTCATTGACCCCGGGCGAAGGTCGACGACCCTCGCTAGGGCCGAGCGAGGCTTGCCCAAATCTGGGCGAATCTGACCGTCACTCGGGCCAATGAGGCCTAGCGAGCTTCGCCAGTCCTCACCTGGGCTTGCGAGGCCTAGTGAGCTTCACCAGCCCTCGCCTAGGGCGACGAGGCCTCGCCCCAAGCTAGCGAGGCCTCGCCCCGGGCTAGCGAGGCTCGCCAGGCCCTCACTTGGGGTCGGCGAGACCTCGCTTGAGGCAGGCGTTGGTTGCCAACCATGAGGGCCAGCGTTGCCCAGCTCTAGGCACCTTAACTCAGATCTGGGCGAGCCTCGCCGGCCACCCTCACTCAAGGCCGACGATGGGCGGTGCTGGCAACCTCAAATGATGGGCGGCAGTGGCAACACCCTACTAGCGAGGCATCCTTTCTTTTTTTCCATTATTTTTTTTTTAAATAAAATTTTAGATTTCTTTACTTTTTTTAATCTAGTTTAAATAATATTATAATAATAATAATAATAATAATAATAATAATAATAATAATAATAATAATAAATGCAATGTAAGATAGAGAAATTGATTTAAATATGCCACGTCAGCATTTTCTGCTAAAAAAATTGACGATGTTAACTTTAAGACTCAATTGAACAAAATTGACAAGTTTGAGGATTTGATTACACTTTTTGCAAGTTTTAAAACTTAATTGTACTTTGGCGACAATTTTTCGGACTTCTAGTGCACATGTCCTTTAACTTTACTGCGTGTACGACAACGTCTGCATAATTTCCACCTATGTAGCACCGACACCGACACGCAACACGACACAATACAACACGCCGACACGTTATTTCTCAAAAAGTAGAGAATTTGAACACGTTGCGACACGTTGTATATTAAATATATATTTTTATATATACATGGTAAATTATTATTTTTACAATTATTTCAATCAAATTAATTTGATAAATTATTCATGACATATTTTATTATGTCGTGTGATATTTTAAAAGTTCCTTTGTTTGGTCATGTATATTTTTCTCATGGAGTACCCATTTTGGTTTTTTCCCTCCAAGTCGTGCTATAACTGTAAGGGGGGCTCCTTTCTGCCCACATGCCACAAAAGATTACCTTTTCTTTCCTCTCTCTCTCACCCTCCCGCAATTAGACGAAATCGCAAATTCCCTCTTCTCCGATCAGATCTCCGGCAGCGGCAGCTCTCGCCGTGGAAACTCTGATTCGCTCAGCTCCTTCATCCATGACACTTGGCTCGGGAGGATAGGGGGTCGTCGGTGAGTTCTCAAAACCCTTCCCGACCTAGATTTCCAGATCCACAGTTGGATCCTACGGTTGGTCAACACAATATACTTTTCTTAACTTGACTTTGTCTTACCAATTGACTTGGACATTTCAATGACAGATGAAACCCAACTGATCTTTTCGATCGATATAATCCATCCCTTTATTGAGCCTCCACCACAATAGCCAAGCTAAAGCTTCCATTCTTTCATCAGACAGTGGAGAGATGATTAATTCTCTCGGATCCATGGTTTTGTACCGTGTGTTTATGCTCATATCGCATGTTCTACTGCTAGGGACGGGTTGCGAGGCGAAGAAGAATCACTTGTGCGCTGCTTCATCTTGTGGCGAGATCCGTAACATAAGCTATCCATTTCGATTGAAGAGCGACCCCAAAAGCTGTGGCAAGTCTGAGTTTGAGCTAGTTTGTGAAGATAACCGTACTGTCCTATATCTGTATGCCGGCCGATATTATGTGAAGTCGATCAATTATAATTACTATTGGGACAAAGGTCACTTCCGTGGTAATATCACGGTGGTTGATGATGGACTGCAAAAGGGTAATTGCTCGTCCCTCCCTCGTTACTCATTAGCAAGTTCCAACATCAATATAGACTCCTCCATTCCATACTACATGGATCTTGATTCCTTATCAGCAGTGGTCTTCGTAAAGAGCTCACAACCCGTTACTTTTGATTCGTATGTCAATACCAAACCTTGTATCGATGGAGCATACTCTGCCAACACGGGCCCTGGTATTTCCCAAATGAAGGAGTACTCATATGCTGTACAGAATGGCTCTGGTCTAAAGGTAGGTGATATCAAGGATTCTTGCACAATAACCATGATAGCATTTGCATCGGATATCTCGCCATGGAAAGGAGATCAATATAATGGGAGCTCACGATACAAGGACCTCCACAACATGATGTCCGAGGGATTCGATCTCTCCTACGCGGAATATTCATCTTCAGTTCATCAGGTCACACCGTTTTGCTTCATGGGTGTCAGCTCTGGAGGGAAGTGGTGCCATTACTGTAAGTGTCTTTCCATGAAACTTTTCTTTCTTACATTTATAAAAGCTATCCTTGAATGATATTGCGTGTATTCATATATATATATATATATATATATATATATATATATATATGGACCATGTAGACCAAGTTCACTTGAACCATTGATTATATAGTTTCACAGTGAGACCCATATGATTATTGATTTGGATGATGCTCATTCACATAACTCGTAGACCATACAGTTCGGATTTTGCATGATCCAACTCAAGTAAGAAGTCGATAGAGGTGTCAAAATGGGTCATGTACCTGTTGTTTGACTTGTATTTCAGGACCAGATTGTTTATGGATTTTATAAACATAAAAGGGTCATGTAAACGCGTGTTAAAAAGTTGAAGTTTAATCAAATTGGGTCTTAATGAATTTCTGGAAAAGCCATTTTTGGGCCCATTTTTGTCCCTGACCAAGAAGGCAAATGGCTCGGGCTTCAAAGAACCAGGTCTTGATGTAACACCCTCCACCGAAGTTTAATCTCGCTATTGCGATCAATTCCACGGTCCACCTTCTGCAACTATGACGAGTTGCGCCTACTAATAACGGTAAATTATGTGTAGAACCAATTATATGACTTCACATTCTGACGTGTGTCATACCTTAATGTCAATAAGTTTTCTACATTGAACACAACTTAAATAAAACAATATAATCATTCCAATTAGAGTAACATGAAATTTTTCTTTTTGAAAAACATAATGATTTTCTAACATTTAAATACTTTTCTGTCAAAAGTCGTAAATTGGGAACAGAAGCCCCCAAACAACCTTCTAAGTCTATGCATATGAATCTATTATTGGTTCATTTCCTTTTCTTATATTATTGCTTGGCGTTGTTTATTGGTGCGAATTTTTGAATTTAATCCAATTTGTATTCCTTCCTTTGTTAGTTTCTATTATTGTTCATTGATTGGTCGTTCATTGGTCGGAAACTTTTAATGAATTTTCTTGTTTTTCTGCAGACCGATCTGTATGGGGCATCACCGCAGATGTTGCTTTAAATGGAATTTTAGATAGCCTCGTTGTATTTGGTATGAACGATTCTTTTCTGCTGGCAGTTTTCAATATCTCACTTGTACCACGGCAAACAGAAAAACATCTTTAAAATGTGCTTCACATCAATAGAAAGACCTAAGAAAAGATTACTCTATGCTAATCATTTGACAATTTTCTCTGCAGCTCTGTTCAGCGCCGCAAAATTTGTACTCGGAGCTCCATGTGTGTTGATATTTCTAATCTATAAGTGGATGAGAAGGCACCGTGCAATGGATGCAAACATCGAAGACTTTCTTCAAGCTCATAACAACTTTCTGCCTATAAGGTACTCTTACTCGGACATCAAGAAAATCACAAAAAATTTCAAACACAAATTAGGGGAAGGAGGATATGGTTCCGTGTACAGAGGAACACTTAGAAGTGGCAATGAAATTGCAGTTAAGATTTTGAACAAAGCAGAATCTAATGGCCAAGACTTTATAAACGAAGTGGCTACTATTGGAAGGATCCACCACGTCAATGTCGTGCAACTTGTTGGCTATTGTTTCGATGACTCCAAACAAGCTCTCGTATACGATTTCATGCCGAATGGATCTTTGGATAAGCACATTTTTTCTAGAGATGACAATAGATTTCTTGATCAGAAGAAATTATACGAGATCTCTCTTGGTGTGGCTAAAGGAATAGAATATCTACATCGAGGATGTGACATGCAAATTCTACATTTTGACATCAAGCCTCACAATATTCTTTTAGACCAAAGTTTCACTCCGAAAGTTTCTGACTTTGGGCTTGCAAGACTTTATCCCGCAAACCACAACATAGTATCATTGACTGCTGCAAGAGGAACCTTGGGATATATGGCTCCTGAGCTATTCTACAAGGACATTGGTAGTGTCTCTCATAAATCTGATGTTTATAGTTTTGGGATGTTGCTAATGGAAATGGCCGGTAGGAGGAGAAACGTAAATGCAAATCTTGAGCGTTCAAGCCAAATTTATTTCCCTTTGTGGGTTTATGATCAGCTCGGCAAAGAAAAGGAGGTTGAAATGGAAGAAGTAGAAAAGGAAAGAGAGATATCTAGAAAGATGGTAATAGTTGCTCTTTGGTGTATACAGTTAATGCCCAATGATCGGCCATCAATGAGCAAGGTCCTAGACATGCTTGAAGGAGATATTAATAAATTGCGAGTGCCCCCAAAACCGCTTTTATATCCGTCCGAGAAGCCACTTGATGACGTCGACATTGAAATAGAACTTGAGTCATTCTCAACCTCATCAAGTGCCCCAACAACTTCTGACGGGTATCAATTTCGGAATAACAATGAAATTACGGATTCCTGCATTGTTTAATTTTCTTTTCTTCATGTGGGAATGAAATGCAAAATGGACATAGTTGCATCAGAAGCATAATTGACATGTAATTGGTGAATCTAGATGATTTCAGGGTTTGTTAATTCCTGTGTTTTGTAGAAGAATTGCCTCATGGCTGTCTATTTTCACTTCTTGTTTCTTGAGTGTTTTTGATATGATAGACCAAGCTCGTCTTGTATGAAGTAACGAGTCTTTCTCTCTTCTCTCCACCGTCCAATATCAAGCAGATTCAAGCTCTCCCCTTCTCGCCAAAACCTCTCACCCTCGACCCTCGACCGCCACACGATCACCCACCTCGATGGCGGCCACCTCCACAGAGCAATCTCCCGCCTCGACCTCATGTCCCGTGATGGGTCCCATCCGACCTCCTCCCCTTCTCTCTCCTCCTCAACTCCTGCATTCGCTCCCATGCGTTTGCGCTCGGGAGGCGCGTCCACCGCGCTTGCTTAGTCCCAACTCGAGCCCGACTCGGCGATTCTCAACTCAGCTCATCAATCTCTACTCAAAATCCAATGACTGGGCTGAGGCGGAGAGGATTTTCATGGACATGGGTTGTAAGAGGGACTTGGTTTCTTGGAGTTCCATGATCACTTGTTTTGCCAATAGACTCATGGAGTTTGAAGTGGTTGATACTTTCGTTCATATGCTTGAAGATCATTTTTTCCCTAGTGATTATTGTTTCGAAGCAGATATCCGGGCGTGGTCGGCTCCGGAGAATGCATCGACTGTCTTGATTCCGATGCGTGTGTTGGGTGTGCATTGATTGACATGTTTGCAAAGGGTAGTACTGATTTGGTTTCAACTCGCAAGGTATTCGAGAAAATGCTGGAGAGGAATGTGGTTGCTTGGACTTTGAAATCATAGAAAAATAATTATTTTTATTTCTTTTAGTTTTTTTTTGGTGGAATTATCTTTTTGCTGGAGGATGAGTCTTGTGACCCGAACTCGCAATTTTTTAAGTATAAATATAACTTTTGCCAAAATAAAACTCAAGTTATCGAGGGGTAAAATTAAATAGCTCATGAAATACCTAATCCTAGAAACACCGTTTGCGTCTTCACTCCTTTCCTCTTTTGTGCCCATGTCCCAACGGCCATGCCAGGGTACCTGACTCTCGCGCCCAATTCAATGTTGCCTAACCCAAGCGCCGAGGCCTTTGATTCAAGCATCGATATTTAGTCATATTTTGAAAAATTATTTTTTATTTTTCAAAAGAGAAATTATTTTCCTGAATCTAATAATAGCTTTTCCATTGACTGAATTTTTTTTCTATTGACTCGTTTTCCTAACCGATCCAAAAGTCGGAAAATGTTTTCCGACATAAAATTTTCTGCGAATCAATATTAAAAAGCTAGCCATCTTTTTTTAAAATGACTTTCACAAAAAATATTTCCCTCCACAAAGAAACTTTTCGTGAAACAAACGAGAAATTAATATCGTTGGTTCTGATGTTGGAAGTCTAATCTTGGAAGGACAATCAATTGACCCCAGTGAATGCAAACAAGAAAATGCGGACGTGTTCAATAAGCAATAAGAAGAGTATGCATAATTATATTAGAAATGTATAGTAAATTTAATGAACCAGGAAATTTCAGGGCGTAGATATTGGACTTTTAGGCTTTGTTCGTTCCACGAAAAATGTGACGTTTTTTAAAAAAAATTTTGGAAAAGTGATTTTTCAAGAAAATGTCAATATTTTTCGATATTTGGCTGAAACTTGAAAATGAATTGGAAAATATTTTCCGTCTTTCGCTATGAAAAATCTAATTTCATTTTCCTCCTTGCACTCCTTTTAACAATTTTCTATTTTTATTTTTTAAAAAATTCGAATTTTAATTTTTTTTTATTTTTGAATAATTTTTTATATTTCTTTTCTTTTTCTTTTTCTTTTTTTTTTTGCTTTTCTTTTTCTCCTTTTTTCCCTTTTCTTTCTTCCTTTGCTGGCCGCATTGATGGCCAGCGATCGACCACAGGTAAGGGAAGAGCTTGCCCAAGGCTGGCCTCGCTCGACAGCGCCTTCCCTGGTCTCGAGCAAGGCCTTACCTCACCATTGAAGGAATGTTGAGGAGTGTAGAGAGGAAAAGAGTATGGGAAATCTTTACAAAAAAAAAAGAGTATGGAAAAAATGTTTTCCCCACTTTTGAAGTCTTGAAGGTGTTTCTTCCTTTGAGCTTGACTAGTTTATTTCCGAGAACCGAGCGCCCACCGGAATATCCGGAAAACATTTTCCTGAATTTGCGTGCTCCTTTACCGGTCAAAGTCAACAGTCAACCCGTCGGACAGAAGTCAAAGTCGTCGCTGATTGGTTCAAATCGCTGTGCGTTCCCGCACCGAATCCCCTCTCTCTCTCTCTCCGACAGAACTGAAACTCAAAGAAAGCTTTCCGATGGTCGCTCCGCCGCGTTTCGTCTTCCTCCTTCTCCCGCTCCTCGCTCTCGCCGCCTCCGTTCATGGCGTCGACCCTCTGTACCAATTCTGCGGGGGCACCGGCAACTTCACCGCCAACGGCACCTACGCGGCCAGCCTCAGCACCCTCCTCGGCTCCGTCGCCGCCAACGCCGCCGCCAACGACTACAGCTTCTACAACCTCTCCGTCGGCCGGAGCCCCGACGCCGTCAACGCCATCGCCCTCTGCCGGGGCGACGTTGGGGCCGCCGACTGCCGGAGCTGCCTGAATGACTCCGCCGCCAAGATCACCCGCCGGTGCCCGGCGCAGAAGCAGGCAGTCCTCTGGTACGACAACTGCATGCTCCGGTACTCGAACCGATCCATTTTTGGGGCCATGGAGGATATGCCTGCCTTCTTCATCTCGAACCCCAACAATGTCACCAACAATGTGGATAAGTTCAATCAGGTTCGAAAACGGGAAGTTATTTTTTTACGTGCTTATGATCAGTTGTTCCTGATTTTGTACGTTGCATTGCATTTCGTTTGTTTCCATGAAAGCAGGGTGCATGCTTCTTGACGTGTTGACCTCGTCGACTTTCATCGAAACTTTCCAAAGTTCTCGACGTAGTAACCCTGAGAATCCTCATCTCCGTTTGACGATGTGCCCGACATGTGGATCAGTTGGATCCGGTTGCTTCACGAGTCTAATTCCATCCTGGTTTAGATGCACTCTGTAATGCTTTACCTCTCTTTTATTATCACCCATTACTTGTACGGTTAAGGGGATAATCCGACCATTGCACTTGTCATCAGGATTGTTTTCTTGTTTTCTTAACTGGTTAAGTGTGGACCAACCACTAGCCCATTTTGAAGTGCAAGACAGTTTCCTATAGAGCACATGGTTAATCATAGTGCTAACTATGTTTTTGTTTTCTTGTTGCTTTTTTTCGTTGTCTCTGCGACTTGTTCTCAAAGAATGTGTTTTCCCCTTTCGTCTTGAATTCTTGAACTTTACGTTTCCTGTAAGCCATTGGGATTGGCACATTGCTTTTCAGGGTAGTATGAGCTCACATGCGCATTTGATTTTAGGTATCGTTCTTGGATAGCAGCTAACAATTCATATTGCATTCAGATTGAGTAGGATTTTATGGTTTGGGTCGTGACACAGTACTAGTTCTTGTTTTCTTCTCCTGACAGTAGCTTATAGTTTTGGTTCTATTTCTAGGTTTTGAGAAATCTGATGGATGGTTTAAGAGACCGAGCTGCAAGTGGCAATTCGACGAGGAAATTTGCCGTCGGAAACATGACAGCTCGAGGCTTCCAAACTCTGTTTGGACTTGTGCAGTGCCCTCCAGACTTGTTGCGGCAACAATGCGATGATTGTTTGGTGAAAGCTATTGGACGTATTCCTCAGTGTTGTAATCAGAAAGGAGGAGGGAGGCTTTTTAGTCCCAGTTGCATATCAGGTTTGAGTTATACCGCTTTTTTTATCCTTCAGCTTATGAGCAGCCACCATCACCACCACTGGCACCACAATCGCCAGTTTCTCGTCCGCCTCCTCCAATGAATAACCCATCCACTAAAGGTACTTCCTTTTAATGTACAGTTACCTATGCCAGAGCAAGCATGCTTTTAACTTCAATGAGCTCCTCCTACAAAGAAGGGACTAGGGGTTGTATGTCTCCTTCCCCTGCTCCTCCTCCTTTGAGTATGGTCACATTAAGTGGATTTTAAAGCATGATGTAATTCAACTTTTGATTCCGAGTGTCATAAGTTCCTGAGACACTTATGTTTCCTCATGAATGAGGTATAAGCATGAAATAACTAGCAGATGAGAAATTAATGAGATTTCTGATGCATCATGAGTCTTTCTTCTTTCTTTCAATTTAAGTATCACTGTCTGAAGTAATTTCATCTGGAAACTAATAGAATAACACCAAGGACTGCTTTAAATGTGCAACCCCCCTAAAAACTATTTTTGGTAATTGGGTTTGAACACTGATGTCTATGAGTTTATAGTCTAACATAAGAGCTCTTCCTTTTTTCAGGAAAGGATACTAACTCAGGTCATATTGCCCTCGTTATCACAATCCCAGCTGTTGGATTATCTCTTTTACTTGCTGGAATGTTATGCATCTGTTTGAGGTCAACAAGATTGAAAGAAAATTTCGAAGGTCAGTTCTGATTACTTCTGCATGACTGATTTTCATAGAGTACTGGGTGAATACGATCTATGTGAAATATATCAGCAGCCAATAGGTTCAGCCATGATGTGCAAAAGCTAGTAACTTTTCCGAAACTCAGACGCCGGAGATTTCTAACTAAACGAGGACAGATTCAGTATGGGCGATAGTTATCAAAGTTCCCTCATTGCTCTGGAAAACCTTTTATTTGCTACCATCATCCAGAGGAGAAATTTTTTCTTCGAATGGATTAACTATAAAATAAGAATGAAGTACTATTAACTGTTAAACCAGCAGACAGGCTTACCGATTATGTGGAATTAGACAATAAGCAACTTTGCATTTTCCACTTTGTAGCTGTACCGGGAAAATTACCAAAAAAGTCCTAAACCTTTTGCAGTTGTACCAATTCAGTCATAAACC